CTTTAAAGGCGATTTTCTCAATATTTTGATTTTTTTGCACCCTCAGATTCCAGATTTTCTAATAGTTGTATCTCAACCAAATATTGTCCAATCCTAACAAACCATACATCAATGGAAAGCTTATTTATTCAGATGTCAGATCATGCATAAATCCTAATTTAAAAAAAATTGACCCTTATGACTGAGTTTGTGCTCCAGGGTCACATTTCTTCAGAAGATTTGGAAAAAAAGCCATTTGGACCGCATTAATAATAGTGCTTTTTTGGCATTTTGGAGCTTAAAAAGTTTTAGTCCTCATTCACATGCATTATGTTGAAAAGAACAACCAGAATGTTCTCCAAGACGTACAAATTCATACAAATTGGCCACTAATTCGTCAAAATATAAAAATAGTGCCCTTAGAATTTGAAGGAACAGACAAAAATGTACAGTTTTGCTTCAGAAGCAGAGTCATTTGGACCACTTTAATACCGATCTGCCAAAAAGAAAAAATAGTTGTGAAAAAGTTGAAAAGATCTGTCTGTTTCTTTCAGAAACCTGGCTATTGGCATTGGCATTCAGAACTTTCCAGAAGGCCTTGCTGTGAGTCTCCCGTTGCGAGGTTCTGGGGTGTCCACATGGCGATCCTTTTGGTGAGTCCAGACAGAAACACATTAACATCCAAAACCTAGTGAGCTGCCTGCATCGGTGCCCTTTTAAGGTGTCTTTGGCACTTCCAGTGCAAAGGCTGCTCCGAGCAGTTTAGAGACTGTAATTTGCAGATAAGGTGATCCTAGATGCACTGCGCCAAGCTCAGTGGAAAAAAATGTTGACTGATAAGCCTAATCTGTTTTATTCAATTGGCTATGGTTTGGGGTCCAATTCATTTGGTAAACAGCCTTATTGGTGTAAAATGTATCTTTGTAAAACTTTTTAAATCTGTCAGCTATGAGGTTCATTTCACTAACCTCATTGACAGATATGGAGTTTTTTGGATGGCCAATGCCGGAGTTTGCAAGTTTGCGAGGTTTATGGATTTAAATATTTATTACATATTCAAAGACTCACTTGAAGTATAAAATTGCCTATTTGTTAAATGCCAAAAATGTGTGAGAAAGTATCATAGTATTTGCTAGTAATTACTAATAATTAATTGTTCAAGTCTCGCTTCCGACACTTATCAGACAATCAGGATAAAAAATTTAATAAATAAATAAAAATGACTGTTTAAGTCCCACTTCTGACACGTATTGGCCAAACAGAAAAGCATACTTAAAAACAAACAAGCAAATATTACTGTTTATATCCTGCTTCTGACACTTGTTGGCCAAACAGAAAACTTAATTTGAAACAAACAAACACATAAATAAATACTGTTTAAGTCCTGCTTCCAACACTTATTGGCCAAACAGAAAAAAACTTAATATAAAAATAGAAAGAAAGAAAGATTATAGGAAAATATAGAAAGAAAGAAAGAAAGAAAAAAAGAAAGAAAGAAAGAAAGAAAGAAAGAAAGAAAGAAAGAAAGATTACTGTTTAATTCCCACTTCTGACACATATTGGCCAAACAGAAAAATGAAAAACAAACAAACAAATAAATAAATATTACTGCTTAAGTGCCGCGTCTGACACTTATTGGCCAAAAAAAAAAATTTGAATAAATAAATAAATAATTACTCTTTAAATCATGCATCAGACACTTATCGGCCAAACATAAATTTGAAATAAATAAATAAATAATATTTAAGTCATGCTTCTGCCACTTATCCGCAAAACAGAAAAACTTAACAAAAATAAATACATTTTTAAAAATTACTTTTTAAGTCCTGCTTCTGACACATATTGGCCAAACAGAAAAAATAAAAACAAACAAACAAACAAATAAATAAATACAAATGACTGTTTAAGTCATGTCTGTTCTGACACTTATTGGCCAGACTGAAATTTTAATTATAAATAAATAAAAAAATATTACTATTTAAGTCCTGCTTCCAACACGTATCGGCAAAACAGAAAAACTTAAAAATAAATAAATAAAAAAAATCTGTTTAAGTCACACTTCTGACACATATTGGCCAAACAGAAAAATTAAAAACAAACAAACAAATAAATAAATACATTTTACTGTTTAAGTCCCGCTTCTGACACTTAAAAAAAACGTAATTTACAAATAAAAATAAATAAAATAAATGTAAATGTAAAATTATAATAAAAAGCCAAATTTCGGCTAATATATCAGTCTTGGCAATATATTGGTCAGCTACTAGTTAGGATGCTGTCTTAGAAGGAAGCTGCTTATGTAGGCAGCTCTCTAGGTTTTGGACCAAGGCCACAGTCACAAACATTTATTGTGGTCTATTTGTCTTAATTTATTCCTAATATGTCCTGATTGGTTTCTGAGACGTTCTAAAGCCTGCTAATGGAAGAGTTCAGAGCGCTGCAGTGTTTTATGTGTGTGTGCCTCACAGGTACGGGCAGCTGAGTGGGATGGTGGAGCCTCTGGCGGGGTTGCTAGGGGCCGTTGCCGTGGTGCTGGCGGAGCCGTTGCTACCGTACGCTCTGGCCGTCGCTGCAGGAGCCATGGTGTATGTGGTGGTGGATGACATCATTCCTGAAGCCCAAGTCAGGTGAGCAGCAGCACAGTGAAAGACTGCCGATGCTCACATGCCACTGAATGTGTGTTTCTTTCACAGCGGGAATGGAAAACTGGCCTCATGGGCGTCCATTCTGGGCTTCATCGTGATGATGTCACTGGACGTGGGGCTTGGCTGAGCCTTTTCATTGGACGAATCTTCGAATGTCAGCTGATTGCACTGAAAAAAGTGACCAAAGCAGCCTTTCTTCTCGGTGTATAGGTTTATTGATCAATGGAATATTTTTCTACTTAATGTATTTTATGTCTTTTTTTTTTGTTATTTTATTTGTTTTATATGGAAGCCTGTTTCTGCCACTGGTTAAAAAATAAAAAAGGTAATTGCAACTTTTTATCTCAAAATTCTAACTTTATTTATTTATTTATTTTTTTTTGCGAAAAAAAGTCAGAATTGCGAGTTATAAAGTCACAATTTGGTGAAATAAAAGTCGCAACTGAGAAATAAAGTCACAATTGTAAGAAAATAATCTTTGTCCCTCAAAATTGGACTTTGTAACTCACAATTGCGAGTTTTTATCTCACAATTCTGAGAAAACAAGTCAGAATTACACGGGGGAAAAAAAAGTCAGAATTGTGAGATAAAAAGTAACAATTTTGAGAAATAAAAGTTCTAAGCAATTCTAAGAAATTGTTGCAGTTGTAAGAAAATAGTCTTTTTTTCCCTCAGAATTGGACTTTGTAACTCACAATTGCAAGTTTTTATCTCACAATTCTGAGAAAAGTCAGAATTACAAGAAGAAGAAAAAAAGTCAGAATTGTGAGATAAAAAGACAATTATCTTTTCTTATTTTTTATTCAATGGCGGAAACAGGCTTCCATAGTTTTATGAATGACTCACGGACCACATTTATTCAGACAGGGCGGAAAGATTGATTGCAAAATACTTGAAAAATTATTCAAACTTGAATGAGTGACTCGAAGGGTTGTTTAGGTGTGTGTGTGTGTGTACATGAGTGTTTCCCGTCATTAATTTAAAGACCATATGTTCTCAATATTGTTGTGCACTCATTTGAATGAAAGGCAATGATGACTAAGTAAATTGGATGTTTTTGAGCTAGTCTTTCCAGTCAGCTGTTTGCTTTCAAGTTATGAAATGAAGTTGTCATTTTATGGACAATGTTATGTTTTTTTTTTTTTTAATTGCTTATGATTACAGATATGCAACAGGACTATGAATAATAAGGTGAAATGTAAGGTAAAATTCACACGTGTAAATGACGTAAAATGATTACTGAACAACCCATTTGTGTTAATTTGTTCTGCATTGTGTGTGAACTTTTTCATTTCATTGCTCAAACGAAGAAAGAAGTAATAAACTGATTTTCTAACTGCTGTTGTTTTGGGGCTAACTGATGTCTTCTGGCACAGATTGTTACTTTAAGAGTAATTTAATATTTTCATCTCACACAGGGAATTCTGGGAATGACAATTTACATTTTTAATGTAAATTATACGATGACCTGTTCTTTTTCACTTTTAAAAACTGTAAATTTAATATTTCACTGTACAAATACATAAAATGTCCTTATTTCAGGTTTTGACCGTATATCACAAGGGAACAATCTTTTGCCGTTAAAATTTCAATAATTTTTTACAGTGTGGTTTTGCATCAAATGCATGGATTTTGACATTCTTGACGGTAATTACAGGTGCATCTCAATAAATTAGAATGTCGTAGAAAATTTCATTTATTTCAGTAATTCAACTCAAATTGTGAAACTCGTGTATTAAATAAATTCAGTGCACACAGACTGAAGTAGTTTAAGTCTTTGGTTCTTTTAATTGTGATGATTTTGATTCACATTTAACAAAAACCCACCAATTCGTGTGCATTGAATTTATTTAATACACGAGTTTCACAATTTGAGTTGAATTACTGAAATAAATGAACTTTTCCACGACATTCTAATTTATTGAGATGCACCTGTACATTAATCAAACTCAACAATTCAACACTGTTATCCAAGAAAAAATTATCAATAATATTGTTATATTATATTATATTATATTATTTATAGGCAATATTTGGTCCCAAACTAGCTCTGAAAGCTTAGTTTCTTTTCCCCGTTTCTTTTTTAAATATAATATTTATTTTAATATTAATTGCTAAAATGCTACATAAAATCACACAAATCTGTCCCAAAGGTTGGTAACATGTTTAAAAAAAATAGCAGCTTTAATAGATAATAAGAACAGCACATTTCACAGATTGACATTTGAACATTTTCTGGATGATAATTACTTCAGACTCTGCTTTGTACTCTGTATTCATGGAAAGTGCCAAAAGTGTTTCAGTCAAAATAGTATATGAACTACGGAAACCCATTGTTTTGCTCTTGAAGTGGCCATTAGTCTTGTGGTTTCCTCTTGCAATGTAGCTAATCTACAACAACATGTTACTCCTGTGCATTAATGCAAAATCTTTTCCCTGGTGTAAATTTTACAATGCACATAGAGTTAGAGTTCTATTTAGCCCGTCTGAACTTCAAGTGATCTAATTTTTGTCCTCCACCGCATAGCTTCGGTCTTTTGTTCAAACTGCACATTTACTTCTTCGTCCATCACTTTGTTGCATTATCCTACAGGGCGACCAAAGAAACTGAATGTCAAAATCCCATATACCAGTTGAATATGCTTCTCCATAAGCTTCTTACCGAGCTCAGCTGGATCGCATATTTATAGATCACACAATGCATTGTGGCAGCAGTTTGACGTGAACCGCAATGGATTCAATTTCAGCCCCTAAACTTTCTGATTATGCCGAGGTGGATAAGAAGGTTGCAATCAATACTTCATCACATTAGAAGCCTTACTTAAAGGGGTCATAGGATGCTACATGCACTTTTACACAGAAATGTGTGTTGGCAGTGTGTGTACACAACCACCCTATAATGATAAAAATTACGTTTGTTTCTGAAGGGAATGCGCCCCCGATCTACATAAATGCGTCTATGTTCGCGCGAATCATTCATGATCCAGCCTCATCTACAGAAGAAGTGAGTATAATGTTTTGTAATGAATCTTTGCAAATGGCCTTTACTAATAATGTGCTAATTAGCAAGTTTCCCGATGAATGCGGCTAAAGTAAACAGTCTCTCTAACAGCGGCTGGAAGAGAGGGGCGGGGTCAGCAGAGCTCATTAACATTCACGATGAATAAAGTAAACCGTCTCTCTGAGAGTGGCTCGGAAGAGAGGGGCTGGGTCAGCAGAGCTCATTAACATTTAAAGGAAAATGCTACAAAACGGCTTGCTCTGAAAATAACTGTTTTTGACGGTAAAAAGGTGTTTTTTACACTACCATTGAGAAATTTTAACCAAACTATGTTATAGAATTTTCATTAAGACCCCAAAGAATCATATCAACGTGTGGAAAATGGGCATCCGATGACCCCTTTAAAATAATTAATTGTTGATCCCTCATTGTTCATTGGGAGACAGACCAACTGCTTGCACCGAAGTGCCCTTCATCTGTCTTTTGTTGAGTCAATAGAGCTCTGTTCTGAATGTTAACTCCAGACTGGAGATGGTTATTTCAATTAACAAAACTGACCCTGTCTTGAAAGTCACATCAGATATTATAAATGAACCGCACTGACTGAGTTTGTCATGTAAATGAAACCACTTACTGTAGAAAGCCAAATTTTTTTAAAAAGCTCAGTTTTGAATAAATGGCACACAACAACTGTTTATAAGTCATGCCGCCCTCATCACCCTGACCCAGATCATGAAGAAAGAGGCCTTTTTGTTGTGTTTTTCACATAACCTGGAATAGTGGGCTGCAGTCTTATGAGCTGTGGTTTTGGTTATGGCATGTGTTGGGGTTAAACAGAGAGACGGCTCACAATGTCTTTGTGTTTGGTCACACAGTAATGCAGCTTGGACGAGCTCACCAACCAAGAATTATATGTGTGGGTGAGCACGTATTCTTCAATAAATCATTGCTTTTGACCACATACGCACTAACTCCTACAGATTTATTTCACTATATAGTGTTGTAAAGCAAATAATTCTATCAAAGCTAAATCTGAATATATAATAAATCATAAATATGCAGCTAGTAAAAGTTATTTTGGTGTATTTGTACAAACATCCTCCTTCAGCTGGTGCTTCACGTGTCTTTTAGCTGTCAAACTTTACTGGTTTTGATCAAGTAAGCGTCAGAATAAGTGTAAATGCTTACTTCATAAACATTTTCAACAAGTAGATCTGAATGTCCTAAAATTATTAAATGTGTGACAGAGCTGGATTTCTGTGATTATAGCTTGGGAGAGCTTTAGAAATTGGAATTTGGCAACACATAATTCTTCTTAGAAAAGCATGCTCCATTTCATTAACACATGCTTTCAGTCATTAAAATAAAAACAACAACTTTAATTTTATATATATATATATATATATATATATATATATATAAAAAGTTTGGGGCAAACTACATCTCCCATGATGCAGCGTGCTGCTCTGAGCGCTTGTGCGCTCCTGTGGAATGAAGGGCGCACTTGTTGAGTTTGGGAACTTTCAGAGGCTTGAACTTCTCGCGTTGGACGCAGCGGAGCTCTCGCATCATCATCTAGGACTATGTTTTTCTCTGTCGAAGTGTATGTTGATTGTCTTGAGTGTTTTACGCGTGCATCGTTACAGCGCGCAGGAGGATTAAATAACATTACTGCGAGGACGAAGACGTGCCTTTAATAGATTCATATCTATAGGAGAGTTCATGTTTGGTGGAGAGGTATGGGACGCTTTACTGAAGGACGTGTCATGTCGCTATGGGACGATTTATGGACTATCATTGGACTTTAAAAGAGACTGGAGAACATCGATGCTCTGCCAAGGTAAGAGATTATTGCATCTTAAAAGACATGCTAGAAAAAGGCTACAGTATTATAAACTGCTGACTGTCACACTGAAAGCCTCACTTTGACTTTATTCTTCAATGGCTCAGATGAAACACACTTTGTGTGCTGTAGTGGACTGATGTGATGCACCTGCGCAAGCTGCCCTCAAAATGATTATTATTTCCTCCCATCTGTGGTATATGATAGAGGTGTTTGCACTGCATATGATTTATAATTGTCTAATGTAAAATTAGTTTGACGAGTAACAGCCTGTCTTATGAGGATGGTGTGATTCCTTGAGGTTGTTTAATTACGTGTGTTTTCAATAGAAGAGATCAGCTCACTCACTTAAAATTATTATTTTTGAAAGAATGCAATGATTTTAACAACCGATTTGAATCGTCACATATTTGAATCGATTTTCAACCGGCTCGCGGTTAATCGTTACATCCC